CGCTGACGGTTCCCCCTGCAGGTGCCCAGGCAGCCGGACCCGGCCTGGAGGAGCAGCTCTTCCATCAAGTCCGGGACCACTTCAGCTTCGAGACCTACGGCAACGAGACCTTCCCGCAGCGCTACCTGGTCTCAGGTGGGTCCTGGGGTGGTACCGCTATCGGCCTGGTGTCGGCAGAGCCTTGCTATGGCTCAGGGCTGAACTGGGGTCTGCCTGAGCGTGAGCGTCACCGGCTCCCGCGCGGGGGGCAGACCTGCCCTGCTGCTGAGGAAGCTGTGCCCAGCAGCCGGGAGTTTGCTAGAGCTGAGAGGAGCTTGCTCCCATGAGCCAGGCCCCCAGCGTTATCATGGAACCACAGCCTGGTTTGGGTGGGAAAGGGATCTTAAAGATCATTCAGTTCCAACCTCCTGCATGGGCAGGGACACCTCCCACCAGCCCAGGCTGCTCCAAGCCCCATCCAACCTGCCCTTCAACACCTCCAGGGATGGGGCAGCCACAGCTTCCCTGGGCAGCCTGGGCCAGTGTCTCACCACCCTCACACTAAAGAATTTCCTTCTAATGTCTAAACTAAATCCACTTTCTACCAGTTTTAATCCATTCTCCCTCATCTTCTCATTACAAGCTCTTGCCAAAAGTCCCTCCCCAGTTTTCCTGCAGCCCCTTCAGGCACTGGAAGATGCTCTAAGGTCTCCCTGGAGCCTTTTCCTCTCCAGGCTGAACAGCCCCATGTCCCTCAGCCTGTCTCCAGAGCAGAGCTGCTCCAGCCCTCTGATCATCCTGGCAGCTGTTTTCTGGATTGTTCTCTGCTTCCCCTTGGTTTGTCATTCCAGCCAAGCAGTGCAGGGTGTAGGTGTGGGGACTGGCCTCTCTGGAGCAAGACTCAACTGGGAGCAGCAGCTGCCTTGAGCCGGCTCTGTGCCTGTGTCTTCAGTTGGCCACAGCAGCTGCTACAAGTGCAGCTTGGGGCTCTTGAGTGCAGCAAGAACAAACAAATACTGACCTAAACGTCTCACTTCTGTACTTAACATTTTTAAAAGTGAATATAGCTCCTCTTGGGTGAGAGTTCTGCATTATTTTAAACCCTACAACTTCAGAGAGCTTTAAGCTGTGCTGAACAATGGGGGCTTCCAGCAAGGAGCCAGCAGTGCCTTCCTTTCTACGCAAATAATGGGTGTGCAACAGACAGGAAGAGAAAGGAGACTTTTCTAAGCAGTCTGTGACTAAAAAGGCAGCACTCTCGATAACCGGTGTCAGATTTTTTTCAGTCTTGCCTACTTGGAGGAACTGGGGAGATGTTCAGGGAGAGAGCAGAGGTGGAGCTGGGGGTAGCAGCAGCCCAGAGTGGTGCCCAGCCAGGCACCTACTGCTGGGGGGGCTTCCTGCAGCGTCTCCTTCACATCTCCTGGCACTCTGCACCTTGTTCAGCAGCTGCACCCAGTCAGACCCATTTCAGACATGGAGGCACTGGTGAATTTTCATAGCACACCCAAGGATAAAATTTCACTAATTCCATTTCTCTTTTTGAACAGAACTTTGGGGGAATTACCCGGTTTAAAGCATTGCATAATTTTAATTTGTTTTCTTTTTAACGTATTATATTTTATCTGTGTGTCCTGGGCAGAGCTGAATAGTATTTGTGAGGAAGAAAACATTAACACAGTAATTTTGCTGGTTTACAAATAGTTTCTTACTCAAAATTTCTGTGAGTAGTTCCAGTCTCCTCTACTGCTTCTTGTGCAATATGGGACTTATCAGACCATAAGTGAAAAAAGAGACTATTTCACAACCAGTCATCTGACAGCCTTGAGTTTAGTTGGCAGTTCCCCAGGATTTCAATCCAAAAATAGCAACTTGCTATTTTAGTTGCTTTCTAAGCAACTTGTCTGGTTTGGTTTTGCTCCTGTGAATGGTTATTTCCTCCAGGGGCAAGGAAGCCTGTTGGCAGGAGAGCCCAAGCAAAGGGAGCATTTCAGTGTGCTACCTGCTGCCCAAAGCACATTGACACAGAAAGAGGACCAGCCTCTTTGCTAACAAAGTGCAGAAGTTTCAGTAATGACTGGTTTCAAACCCACTTCCAAGCCAAATCCTGCTGTGGCAAATCTGTGTTCAGGATGCCAGGAATTAAATCCTAGCCTCTCTGTTAATGGCCTTGTGGGACATGCTGCAGTGGAGCCTCAGGGACAGCTGCTGTTGGGGGAGCCCTCTGATGAAGTGTCAGTGTGTTGAAATCAACACTCAACTCATGGTCTAAGGTCTGTTGTTGAAGAAAGCTATTTATTATCCCTCTTAATTCCTGTGCAATTTAAGACTAAGCTAAAATCAAATGTTTTTTAAAGTCAGCAGGCATGAAAGCAACTGTTTGTTAGATAAGCAAGAATTGACATCATGGGTCAGCTTGTCCTGCCAGTCGCAATTTGCCTTCAGTTATAAAAAGATCAGAGAGTGAAGCACGTAATATATATGATAATAAAACATATGAGAGAGATAAATATGCGTGTGTGTGTTATGTATCTAACATGTAACAGTGTACCAGCAGCATCCCCACAGCATGACCAGCAGACTGAGGGGGAGATTTCCCCCCTCTGCTCCACTTTCATGACAACCCCCTGCAGGGCTGGGTCCAGCTCTGGGGTCCCCAACACAACAAGGACATGGAGCTGTTGGAGAGAGTCCAGAGGAGGCCACAGAGATGATGGGAGGGCTGGAGCAGCTCTGCTCTGGAGACAGGCTGGGAGAGTTGGGGTGTTCAGCCTGGAGAAGAGAAGGCTCCAGAGAGACTGTTTTGTGGCCTTTGACTATATAAAGAAAACTTATATGTAAGATGGAGAGAGACTTCTTAGCAGGGCTTGCAGTGACAGGACAAGGGGCAGTGTTTTAAACTGAAAGAGGGTGGATTCAGATTGGACAGAAGGAAGAATTTTTTTATGATGAGGGTGGTGAGACCCTGGCCCAGGTTGCCCAGAGAAGTTGTGGCTGCCCCATCCCTGGCAGTGTTGAAGGGCAGGTTGGATGGGGCTTGGAGCAACCTGGTCTGGTGGGAGGTGTCCCTGTTGGGGTTGGAAGTGGGTGATCTTTTGAAGGTCCCTTCCAAAACAAATGTTCTGTGATAGGAGATTTACAGCTTGGCTCTACATCACACATCACAGCAGGAGCAGCAGAGAGATGCAGGCGATTCCCTACTGTCTCATTTTGCAGGAAAAGTGATCTGTGCAAATCTTCTGGGATGAAAAGGGAATATAAATAGAAAATTGCTCTTTTAGGGAGCAGCTGTTCCCAAATGCCTTGCAGAATTGAGATTTTAGGGATTTTAAGGCCATCTGAAAGACCCAGGCCATGTGCTGATCTCCTGGAAGCTCTTATTTACCTTCACTCAGAAAAGAGATCTCTGTAGCCTGGCCTTTCCTGCACCTTTATCCCCCAGCTTGGGTCTGGAGGATCAACAGTTTCACAAAGTGCTTCCTTGTTAAACTCCTACCCAAACTCACTCAAAGCAGAGTCATTTCATGCTCTTGTTTTGTTGTGGGTTTGTTTTTTTTAGTTTTGTTGGGGTTTTTTATTGTTTGTTTGGTTTTGGATTTGTTGGTTTGTTTATTTTTTGGTTTTGTTTTAAATTTGTTCCTCTGAATTGTCTCACTTAGCCAAATTCTGGAAGAAAGGATTTGGACCCATCTTTTTCTATACTGGCAATGAAGGTGACATTTGGACTTTTGCTCAGAACTCGGACTTCATATTTGAATTAGCAGAGGAAGAGGAAGCACTTGTGATTTTTGCTGAACATGTGAGTATTGTAGGCATTGTGCATCCTATAGAGTCTTGTTCTGGTCAGTGTTACTGAATTCAACTTTCTGCAGGTCTGGAAAAATAACATGTTTTGCCATAAAGCTGAGGTGTACCTACTTTTTAAGTAGCTTGTCAGGGACTGTCCATCCTCCACAGGACACATCCTGAAGGTTCTGTTTATCAGATGCAGGGGACAAGGCTCTTCCTCCATAATGAACAAGTCTATAAAGATGCCACATGCTCTGTTGTCACTTCCCATGGGTGCACTGGGTGCTTATCCCAGCTCTGCAGTGAGAACAGAGATGACCTTGACACCAGCATTCCCACAGCGTTTCTCTTTCCTTTCAGAGGTACTATGGGAAGTCTCTTCCATTTGGACTTGAGTCGACACAGCTGCAGAAGACTGGTCTGCTCACCATTGAACAAGCCCTGGCTGACTATGCAGTGTTGATTACTGAGCTCAAGCAGCAGTATGGGGCTGCAGGCTGCCCTGTCATTGCTTTTGGAGGCAGGTGAGGGTTGTGTGTGCTCCCTGCCCTCTCTGCATCATTTACCAGCCACAGTTGTGCTGTTCTCATTGATCATTTTGGCTCTCAAGCAAGTTCTAAAGGCAGAGCTTCAAGCTATCCAATAGAGAACAAAAGTGCCTATGTCTTAGCTCCCAAGAGCTCACACCAGGTCCCAGTCAGCTCTCCCACCATGAACCAGTCTGGACTTGTGAGTGCTTTGGAGAAACACCACTGCCTGGATGTTTCCAGGCATCTTCAAGGTATGAGTCAGCCACAACTGCAGAAAATGGGAAATTCCTCCTACAGGATAAAACCATTTTACATTGCAAGTGCAGTATGCTAATTGGTAACATATCCTTTCCAGGGCCCATGCATGTTTTTACTAAACATGGTCTTTTTAGCAGCACTCAGCCATCTTCACTGGAGGTGCCCTTCATAGCTCTGCTCTGCAACCTGCTGCTTGGTTGCTCCTAGCAAAAGTCCTTCCCCAAAACTCTTGCCCTCTTGCAGCTCAGAGCTGTGTTGGTGCAATGTGCTTGTCCCTTGTAGGGCTCCCCATGCCTATGGCAGAGGGATGCATCCCTCAAAGGCCTCCATGAGGGCTCTTTAATTCCATTGCATCTGTCCTGACAGTTCTCAAGTTCCCACCTCTCTATGGTAGTGACTGCACAGTTGATCTCGGGGTGACTGCCAGGCCACTCCTGGTGACTGCCAGTGTAAAAAGGGTCAGGAGCTATCCTGGAGTGGGAGAGGGATTCACAAGACCTGCTAGCTGGACTGCAGGTGAGGCTGCAACTCCATGTGTGTAAGTCAAGAGTTCAGTCTGCAGCAGCCTGAGCAGCTCTGGACCCACGTGAAGGACACTGAAAGGTGGCAGTGTTGGAGCAGCATAGCATTACCCGAGGGAGAAAAAAACCTTGTTGCTTGTAACTTAGCCAAACTTTAACCTGAAATGACTTGGGGCAGGTTTAAGCATGTGTCCAAGACCAGGGTTAGAGAAATGCACGTTGCTTTACATGGGGGTGATGTGGGAGGGGTATTTACTGCACCCACCTGAGGTGGTGGGTGAGAGACCCAAGCACTGGGAGGCCTGGAGTCAGACCTGCTGTTTCCTGTGTTTTGGGGTGTTATTTGCCTCCCCCAGGAGTGACCTTGGAGTAACTCCATGAATAACTTTTGTCATCTTGTGTTTATCTAACAACCGTGGATATATCTGTAGATTGTGGCCCTGGCACTCGAGCTGCTGAGATGGCTTTGAGCTTTATGGTGGTATTTGTTCATGTCTCCTCTTCCCTACATCCCTGCTGTGTCCTACTGGAATTGGTGTGTTTGGGGAAAGGGCAGTCAGAACACACTGTGTGCTGCTTGCGGACCAGAACTGGATCTTCTTACATCTACTAGATATCTATAAGCTTTTTGTTGCCTTGGGTTAGGTGAGCCCATGAATGCCACCCTGAACTTTTGGGTTACTGTGACCTAAGCTTCGATTAAGGCAGGGAACTCTCTTGTCTCTCCCCTGGTAGCTATGGAGGGATGCTGAGTGCTTACATGAGGATGAAATATCCCAACATTGTGGATGGAGCATTAGCGGCCAGTGCTCCTCTGGTGTCCGTGGCTGGGCTTGGAGACCCCACCCAGTTCTTCAGAGATGTAACAGCAGTAAGTAGCATCTCTTTTTGGGAGCATTCTTTTCTCCATTAAGAAGGCTGGATTTTTTTTTCCTTTTCCATCTGTTTGCACAAACATCTATCTTCAGTGCTGGGCAGGGGCTGCAATGAAATGGGAGCCTGCAGGGAGAATCAGGAGCTGCAGTTGTGGCTGAGCACTTCCTCAGCTGGGGCAGCTCTGCCTTTGCTCCCATGAGCAGCACAACTCAGTTCCAGCACCTTTAGTACCACTAAGGATCCACTTTCCGATTTCTAGGGACTTGACCATGTTACAGCCTGAAAATTTTTCTTTGTTCCTGGCTGAACCCCCTTTAGATAATTTATTCTCCAAATCCTCTCCCAAAGTGGTATTATTTTGCATTGCTACCAATGATGCCTCACAGCTGTGGAGTCCAAAGAGGACTGCATTTCAATGAAATGCTTGGGAATCTTCATTTCGCTAACTACAAATATGCAAGGTGGCACACTTAAAAATTTAAATGTGGCTTTCACACTTTGACGACACGGCACCCAGAGGAATGTGGCTTGCTTAGAACTGACTTACATTTGGTTTATAAGGGAAGAAATTTATTACCTGGTTGTACTGAAACCTTGCGATGATGGTGTTTGTTTTGCCTCTTTTTTGACATGTCTTTCTAGATCTAGGTGACATCAGGAATAGTGTGACCAGCAGGACCAGGGAGGTGATCCTGCCCGTCTGCTCAGCCTCGGTGAGGCTGCACCTCGAGCACTGTGTGCAGGTTTGGGTACCACAGGATAGGAAGAACATGGAGGTGCTGGAGAGGGTGCAGAGTAGGGCAACAAGACTGATGAGGGGTCTGGAGAACAGCTCTATGAGGAGAGGCTGAGGGAGCTGGGGCTGTTCAGCCTGGAGAAGAGGAGGCTGAGGGGAGACCTCATTGCTGGCTATAACTACCTGAGAGGAGGTTGTGGTGAGGTGGGTGTTGGGCTCTTCTCCCTGGAGACCAGTGATGGGATAAGAGGAAATGGGGTCAAGCTGTGCCAGGGGAGGTTCAGATTGGATATTAGGAAAAATTTCTTCACAGAAAGAGTGGTGAGGCCTTGGAACTGGCTGCCCAGGGTGATGGTGGAGGCACCATCCCTGGAGATGTTCAAAAATGGGTGAAAGTGGTGCTGAGGGAGGTGGTTTAGTGGTTGGGTGACAAGGGATAATGGATTAAAACTGGAGGAGGGAAGATTTAGGTGACACATTAGGAAGAAATTCTTCCCTGTAAGGATGGTGAGACACTGGAACAGGCTACCCAGAGAAGCTTTGGTTGCCCCAGCCCTGGAAGTGTTCAAGGGCAGGTTGGATGGGACTTGGAGCAACCTGGTCTGGTGGGAGGTGTCCCTGCCCATGCAGGGGGTTGGAACTGGATGATCTTTAAGGTCTCTTCCAACCCAAACCACAGGTTCTGTGGTTGCTGGTGAGAGAAGACCCCTGAGCGCTGTTGATGCTAACGAAGGTGCCAACCTTCCAGACTCACGCAGGAGCTCCTTCTCCTTTATCTATTGATAAAGATCAATAAGCACATCTAGGAGATTTGGAACTCCTAAAGGGACGCCCAAGTAAACTGTGGAAAACCCCAGAGGGATTTCTCTAAGCCTGCCAGACAAAGGCAGATTTCAGCTGAGGTTGTGTCTGTGTGGAAAGCGTGCTCAGCTAGGGATTGGGGGTTACTTCAGGGTAAAGGAACCTTAAAAGAGCCACAGTAATTCTTACTATTACAAGGCACTGCTTGCCAGCAGATCTCAAACTGCCTCAGAGGCTGACAGAAGAGAAACAGGTTGGGTTGCTAGAGCCTTCAGTGACAGAAATTACTTGTTCCACCAGCAAAACCAACCACAGCTCTTCAAACATACCTTTTACAGTGCTTTTTCAGGCTCAGTAATGTTTTTCCCAAGAAAAAGGACATGGCTGCCTTCATCATCTGGCAGTCTTAGGAAGAAAAGCAGGTCTTGGTTCCCACAGTAGTGTTCTGCCCTCCCTGACTCCTTCTCATAGAGCAAGTGCAGTTGGAAGGACTCAAAACCAAAACGCTTTTGGGCATAGCAGCCTGGCACCCTCTTGCCATGGCCTGGCCAAGGCATGTGTCTCCTTGCTGCTTTGTGCTCCACTGAGTGCCAAGTGTTTCGTCTAACAGCTTACCCCAGTGAGACCTGGTGAAATGGTGCTTGGTCTGAGCTGTGCAGACTGTTGGTTTCTGCTGGGACCTGCTGACTGTTTGGAGAACAAGGCAGGAACCCTGATGTCGCTGCTCCAGGAGTTGCAGATGAGGGTCTTACCAGTGGGCCAGTGGACCCTGTCATCTCCTGGTTCTTCTGGCAGTTCTTCCCTGTGCAGCCTCCACACATCCCATATCTTTTCCATCCCCTCAGGATTTTCAGAAGTCCAGCCCAAGCTGTGTCACAGCTGTCCGCAAAGCTTTCCAGCAGATCAAGGACCTGGGCCTGAGTGGAGGTAAGGAGCAGGAGCCCTGCAGGTGGCTTCCCAAGGCGGCTGTGGGTAGGCCCAGCCGGGAGGAAAAAGTTGATTCGGTTTTATTTCAGCCAAGTCTTCCATTGGTTCAGCAAAATCAATGCAAATGTCCACCTGGCTGGCTCTTTCTGCTGGCACAGTTGAGTTTTGATTTAATGAACTGTTTCAGTTAGTATTCAAATTAGCAACTGACACCAAAATGAAAGCATCTGTGTGGGGCTTGCACAGAGTTAGTGAAACCATCTGTTCTGCACCACAGTCAGAAACATCCACCAGTGCAAAACCCCTGGAGTTCATGCTGGTAAAGCCTTGTGTTTCACTAGATGCTGGTCCTCAATAGCCACACTGTTGAGAACTCTTCAGGTGGGTATGACCCAGGTATGACCTGCATGGCCCAGCTCATTGGACACATCTGAGATGTATTTGGAAGTCCATCTCAGTCTAGAGAAGAAGTCCCTTTCATCTCCAGACTTGGATGGATGGGTGAAGTTCAGGACAGAGACTGGTGAAGACCTCTGCCACATCTCCCACGTAGACCAGACCACATACCATGGGCTGATGCAGCATCTCTTGGGAGCCCTGCATGACGTGGGAACAGTCATGGTGGGTTCTTGGTCTGCTTAAGGCTTGGCCTGCTCTGAGTTGCTGCAAATCAAGGTGGCTCAGCCTGTAACAGCTCCAGGACCTGGCCCTGGAATTGTCCAGAGGAGCTTTTGGTCACAGCAGGAAAAACGTTTCTATTGACTAGCCAAGGTCTTCAAGGTCTGTGTGGGACCACCCTTCCTGCAGCAGGGGGGGTATGGTAACGTTTAGGGCTTAGGCTCTTGGAGTACCCAGAGGCAGGACCCAGACCTTGGTTTTCCAAGTACAGGCAGGTGGGCTTAGATGGGCAGCGAGTAGGGAGGGTGGGGACAGACCGGAACCACAGCTCCAGAATGTGGAGGATGAAAACAAAGGGAGCAGCTTTTCCCAGCAGAAATCAGCAGGTATGTGAGTGCTTCTTGAAGGAATGTTTTCAAAGACAGATTTTGTTGCTCCAGCTGACCCCTCTGCATCACACTGAGGTTCGGAGGCACGTCTCAGGACTTCTTGGTGACTTTGTGAAGACTGCTCTCACTTGGCACTTGTTACTGCAAAAATCACCTGGCTCCCAAGGAGCTCTTTTTTAAAAAAAAATATTTCTTTTTAGTTTTTATTTCCCCCCCGCTGCCAGTTCTTCCAGCTGTTAAGTGCCACTGGGACCTGTGTGCTGTGATCTGCTCTCCAGGCCAGGCTGCCTTGCAGGAGGACACAGCCCAGAAGGGCCCCACAAGGATGGGTTCATACCAAGTTGCTCATCACACTGTGCCAGCTGGGGCTGCTCCTGCTTCCTGGGGTGTGGATTCCTCCAGGCTCCCCGGGGAGGGTTGGGTTGAGCCCCAGAGGCAGGATGCTGGCCGTGGGGTAGTGCAGCTACACAGAGAGGCTGTGCCTGAACATCCACCTGGGTGTAAATGTAAACGTAATGTGTCCTTTCCACCAGAAATCTCATCTGTGTGTTGTGGCATGAGTGAAACGATGATGAAGGCTGGTTTTGTTTTCCTCTCTTGAAGTTTGTGCCTGCTGCTTTCCTTCCTTCTGCAGCCTACCATGAAATCAGCAGCAAAATGGCCACATGCAATAAGATCTCTAACATGGAGGATGTTTACCAGCTTTTTGGGTTTGCTAGAAATGCCTTCACCATGATGGCCATGCTGGACTACCCTTACAAAACAGATTTCATGGGTCAGCTCCCTGCCAACCCAGTGAAGGTGAGTACCTGGGCACAGGTAAGAGCCATGGTTTCTTAATGGGCCCCTCAGTGACCAGGGCATTGGGAGTGCACAGCCAGGACACTGCCAGGCTCATACTGTTAGGGGTAGTGGCAGGAGAGGTGGGGGGATGTTGCAGCCCTTCCCAGACTCCCCAGACACCAGCTGCTTTTGAAAGTTTCCAGCTTTGATCCCAGGTCAGTGGTTGTTGGTGCAGTTGGTTTCTTCTGCTGTGCTGGCAGCCTGATGCTGCTGCCCCTGCTGTGCCTGGCACACCATGGCACAGGGTTTTGTTTGTGATTGGTCTGACCTGAATCAAAACACACACTGTGCCAATGGGTCATAAGGCTACACTGCTCTTGAACTCAGGAGATGCTCTCTCTGGCTCCAGTGGGCATCCAGTTCCCTTCTAGGGCTTGTTTAACAGCCTGTAAAATGGAAATAATTACTCTTGCGAAGGGGATGAGAAGATTCTGGTTGTAGGAAGCAGGAACTGTTGTGTATGACTGTGGCCTCTGCACAGCCATGTAGCTCAGTAAAGGAACTATTTGTCCTAGCCCTGTCTCCTTGTTTCTATGTAGTTTGTTGCTAGAAAAAAGCCCAACAACCAACAAACAAAAAACCTTTTGCATTAAGTCCTTGGAAAGCTGCTGAACTGTCAAATATGTAAGTTTTAATTTTAGTGAATTTTTCAGCCTAGCCCTTCCACGGAGCAGAGACTGTTAATTGTTCTGTGATTTGTCTCATCCAGGTTGGCTGTGAACAAATCCTTGCCCATACTGACCCAATTCAAGGCATGGCTGCTCTTGTTGGTGAGTTTATAACATCAGTTTGGTCTTTTGTTTAGCCCCTTGCTTTCTGCAAGCACCCAAAAGTAGGGCTGTTGTGTTGCTGGGCTGGTTTATGGTGGGACCTGGTACGGCTCCAGCCTCCTCCTGGGACATTTTGCTCCGTGTTGGCTTTGTCTGTCAGGATGTCTGATGTGGAGCTTGTGTTCATTCTCTCACCTTTTCAAACTTATCCTTGTCAGGTTTTTCAGCCATTGCAGCCCCTTGGACTGTGCATGAGATGTGGACTTGGAAGGTACTTGGTTCTTTTCTAAAAGGCTACCCATACTCTGGCTCAAGCCATCCCAGTGCATGTTCAGTGAAGGAAGTTTTCTGGACTACTTGTTGAGGATGAGGTTGACAACACAGTGCTCTAGGGTCTTAATTCAGTGGCAAGACACATCATGTATATTTATCTCTTCGAGTACCTAATTTGTCAGCCAGCAGTGTTTGTAAGGAATTTATTACAAGTGGGATGCAAAGCTCTTTTGAAGACTTCCTCAAAGAATCTCTCCAGTTGCTTTTAATAGTAGAGTTGTTAGAATACTAATGTTATAGCAAACACTGTCAGATCTTGACATATTAACATCCTACTTCTATTCTGAGACAGAGGAGGACTCTTGTTTCTTTGTGATGAACAAGATGCAGGTAGATTTCTTCCTGCTGCCCTTGGGGGAGCCCTTTATGCGTTTTCCCATCTCACCAGCTAAGTTCACTTGGGACAGTTTGATCATGCAAGAGGTGTGATCCACCAGAGCTTTAGGCAGGGGACTGGCTTTTCTCTATATCTGCCCCTCCATGTCATAGAGGAAAACACTGTCTTCTTTCTGCATGTGCTGCAGTGACCTACCTCCTGCCAGGTAGAGCATAGACTCATGGGCTGTGATGCTGAACTGGCAGCAGTTGAAGGGTGACAGCATGAGTGTTGTCCACTGATTGCTTGCAGGACAGTAACACTCTGTCTCTGTGACAGGAATCCATTCCTCCACCTGCAAAGAGCCAGGACAACACTCACCATCAGATCATACCTCAAGTGGGTATCATTGTCATGTCAGGCTCTCTTGGTTCATGATAAAGGACCTCAGTGTCTTAACATCTGCTTGAATTCACCAGGGCTCAAGGGTACCATATTTAGCAATCAGAGCCTCAAAAGACATTGAATACAAAACCATGGCTTTAAAAGAGCTTTCTTGGAAAATCAGGAACAAGCTGGGCAGGGTACCACAGGTTCTTGCTGGAATCTGCATAGCCCAAGTGCTGCTGCTCTCTGGACATTTAACATGTTGCAGAGAAACTGTGGACTATTGATCTGAGTTTGACTATTGAGCTGAGTTTGTGTCATCTGGAGGAATTCAAAGACAGTCTTGATGTGCAGTTTCTCTTTATGGATTTCTGTCCCATCCTCAGTGAACAATTCAGTGCTCTAAGATGCCTCTTGCCTTCCTAAGAAACTGCACCCTCATGGTAAATCAGGGCTCTGAGTCTTTACACTTGCAAATGGAAATTGCTGCATGAGCTGCATGAAAACTCAGTTGTCTTGTTTTAAGGGAATGGGAGTCTCTTAGAGGGAGCCTTTGGATCCTGTCAGGTCTCTCCTGCCTTGCCCTCCCCAGGAGGCTGGGCAGTGCTTGCTCTCCGCTTTCGGAGATGGGAAACCCCAGATTGGAGAGACTTCATTTGATTTGCAGGACTTGAGCCCATCTTTCCAAAAATACGGGCTGGTGTCCTCACTTCAGTGCCTGTCTGCCAGTGTCCTCCCCCTCTCAGCTCAGGAAGGGCAATCAAGAGGGCAGAGTGCTTTGGGCAGCTCTGTGACCAGTTTCACCTTCAGTTTGTCTCTGGTAGCAGGCTGTGCCTCCACCGTATGTTTGTTTTAAAAAATGCTTCCAACAGCCTTTGTACCCTAGCAAGTCGAGTGTGAGAACAGGGCAGCTTCTCAGCACACAGCCATCATGGCAGGCACATCTTCATAAGCTTGTTGGCCTGATGGCACCTCTTCGGAGACCAAAACTAATGAAATTACTGCTGGAGTAAAACAGTCTGGGCCTAGCAGTACAGAGACCCCATTTTGGATCAGATTGGGGATTAAAAGATCAAATGAACTTACTCCTTTTTGTGTCCTCCCCCCAATGCAAAAGATCCTGTCTCCGGCTGTCGCCATCCCGTGGTCACAGCGGGTAAAAGCCATGGCACTGTTGCCAATCCAGCGGCGAAGGCGAGGGAGGTAGCTGTAAGTGTCTCGTAAGGTTTTACCCCCAGAGAAGCCTCCTAGAAGGGAAACGGAAGTCTTGAAACCATATTCATCATCCTCTCTGTCACCGAGAAAACCTTCAGCAAATTAGAAAATTAGCAAATCTGATATTTTTTCTTTAAAATATCATAGAATTGTAGAATGGTTTGGGTTGGCAGTGCCCTAGAAGATCATCTAGTTCCAGCCTACACAATAAGCTCAGGTTTACAGTTTCACCCCATTCTGCAGAACTGATGTGTGAAATTTAAAACCTGAGCTGCTTAGGTATCTGAAATAAGAGAAAGAAAAAACCCAGCCAGTTACAGGTCTTTCTGTATAGTTTTCCACAAAATATTTCTGAATAAAGCTCTTGGGGTTATTTCAGGTGTGACCAGGAACAGCTTTACTTCACAGAATCACAGAAGGCTGGGGGTTGGAAGGAACATCCGAAGATCATCACGTCCAACCCCCCTGCAAGAGCACGACCAAAACTAGGGCAGATCACTCAGAAAGGCATCCAGACAGGTCTGGAAAGTCTCCAGAGAAGGAGACTCCACAACCTCTCTGGGCAGCCTGTCCCAGGGCTCTGTCACCCTCACAGGAAAGAAGTTCTTCCTCATGTTCAGGTGGAACTTCCTGTGCTTGAGTTTGAATCCATTGCCCCTCCTATCACAGGGCACAAGTGACAAGAGGTTGTCCCTGCCTTGTTGACCCCCAGTCCTCATGTGTTTATAGACATTAATTAGATCCCCCCTCAGTCTTCTCCTTTCTAGACTGAAAAGCTCCAGATCTCTCAGCCTTTCCTCATAAGGCAGGTGTTCCAGTCCCTTCATCACCCTCGTAGCCTCTGGTGGACTCTCTCAAGTCGGAGCCCAGAACACAGAACACACAGTACTTAGGAAATCTGGTTCCAGTATGCAGTCAGAAAATAGTGATTGGAAAGGAAAGCTCTCAAAGCTGTTTGACAGAAGGTCAGGGCCAGTCCTCCAGGGCTGCTGTTGACTTTTCTGCCTTACCAGGCACTCAGTGGGCATTTCAGAGGTGCATTTTTAAAAGCTCCTCAAGGGTACTGCTGTGGGAAAGGTAAATGGCCCCAGCTGCCTCCCTGGTGAATCCAGCCTGCAGAGTCTTTGCAGTCAAGGCAGATGGTGTTTCAGGTTGGCCACAAGCCCTGCTCACCTGGTTGTGGACACTGCATGGAGCTTGTGTTTAAATCTGAAGGGTTTGCTGGGGCAGGGCTATGGGATGGACACATCCATCTGCAGTTACCACAGACTCAGAGGGCAGTGAGTGCTGTAGGTGGGTGAGATCCCATGCCCAGGGGTGTAGTAATACTCAGCCGGGGCACTATGGCATGTCTGAAGTGCTGTGAGACAATCTTGTCCTTGGTCTCTGGAAGGAATGAGACCTAGAGGGGTTAAGTGATCTGCCTGAGGCACCTTAGGCTAGCAGAGTCAAGAGGGAGTTGAACCCAAGTCTCAGCCAGGCAGGAGCCAGCTGTACCTGGGGACATCCCTGGAGTAGTTCAGCCTGGAGGAGACTCAGGGGGGACCTTTTCACTCTGAAGGGAGGTTGTGCTCAGGTGAGGGGAGGTTGTGCTCAGGTGAGGTTGGGCTCTTCTCTCAGGCAACTAGTGACAGGACAAGAGGGCCTGGCCTGAAGCTGTTCCAGGGGAGGTTTAGATTGGATATTAGGAAGCACTTCCTCATGGAAAGGGTGATCAGACACTGGAATGGACTGTCCCGTGAAGTGGTGGAGTCACCATCCCTGGAGGTGTTTAAGGAAAGGCTGGCTGTGGCACTTAGTGCCATGGTCTGGAGATGTGGTGGTGTTAGGTCACAGGTTGAACTTCATGTTCTTCAGTGGGCATTTCAGAGGTGCATTTTTAAAAGCTCCTCAAGGGTACTGCTGTGGGAAAGGTAAATGGCCCCAGCTGCCTCCCTGGTGAATCCAGCCTGCAGAGTCTTTGCAGTCAAGGCAGATGGTGTTTCAGGTTGGCCACAAGCCCTGCTCACCTGGTTGTGGACACTGCATGGAGCTTGTGTTTAAATCTGAAGGGTTTGCTGGGGCAGGGCTATGGGATGGACACATCCATCTGCAGTTACCACAGACTCAGAGGGCAGTGAGTGCTGTAGGTGGGTGAGATCCCATGCCCAGGGGTGTAGTAATACTCAGCCGGGGCACTATGGCATGTCTGAAGTGCTGTGAGACAATCTTGTCCTTGGTCTCTGGAAGGAATGAGACCTAGAGGGGTTAAGTGATCTGCCTGAGGCACCTTAGGCTAGCAGAGTCAAGAGGGAGTTGAACCCAAGTCTCAGCCAGGCAGGAGCCAGCTGTACCTGGAGTAGTTCAGCCTGGAGGAGACTCAGGGGGGACCTTTTCACTCTGAAGGGAGGTTGTGCTCAGGTGAGGGGAGGTTGTGCTCAGGTGAGGTTGGGCTCTTCTCTCAGGCAACTAGTGACAGGACAAGAGGGCCTGGCCTGAAGCTGTTCCAGGGGAGGTTTAGATTGGATATTAGGAAGCACTTCCTCATGGAAAGGGTGATCAGACACTGGAATGGACTGTCCCGTGAAGTGGTGGAGTCACCATCCCTGGAGGTGTTTAAGGAAAGGCTGGCTGTGGCACTTAGTGCCATGGTCTGGAGATGTGGTGGTGTTAGGTCACAGGTTGAACTTCATGTTCTTAAAGGTCTTTTCCAGCCTTGGTGATTCTGTTACCTGGGCAGGACATGTACCCTGCATGCTGCCCTCTGTGCTCCTGGGACCTTGGGTGTGCAGGCCAGCACGGAGACCTGCCCTTCATTGCATCCTTGTAATTAACCTGGGCTGGACCAGTACAGGCTCCCAGTCGACCCCGACTGGATTAGGAAGCAGGGAGCTCACAGGGATGCAGGCTGGCCCAGGTCTTCTTATTGCAGAGGCAATAACACACAGTGCTTTTCCTAGGACAAACCAAAGGTTATCTTTCAATTCCAAATCAGTAGCTACAAAAGCTGAAGATCTCACAACAGTTTCCTGAAGATCCCTCAACAATTTAAACCTGTGCTGCTGTATTGTTAGACACCCAGAACCAAAGACAGTCTGTAAAGACAGAGGATCCCTTGTAGGCCATGAGCTGCACCAGCATTACACTTCTTTTTTGTACATATGAAGAAAGCAGCACAGGAGGGTTAACCCCACATCTTCCATTCAGATTGATCCCAGTGTTTAATGCCATCCCCAACACTATGGCTTCCTGCTCCTGGTTTACCTTTTCAGGCAGCAAAGCTTTGGGATTTAGCCAGGATTTCAAGGTCAAAGGTGAGGAGAGGTGTGGATAGGATGACAGCAAATGATGTCACCTTGACTGTCTGGGAAAGAAAATAACTCCTGCTATTGAGGTGGACAGTGAGGCTGTGCTACCACAGCTGGAAAGGGATGTTGGAGCTGCAGGTGTTATTGGTGTGGGTGCAGGTTTAGACTGCGACGTTAAGATACCAGCAAAAATCAATGAAATTATATGAAAAAGTGCTGCTTTCCAGTAGCTCTGTCACCTGAAATATAGAGGATTCCCTTGTGGGTTGTGCCTGCATGATCAGCAACAGGTGTGGGAAAAGGAGCTGCAAACTCCCACTTGTTGTCAGCGGGCTGGTACAGCTCCACAGAGCGGGTGAGGGTCCCCAGCAGTGTCCCACCACCCACGGCAAAGATGCGATCAGACAGCACGTCCGCGTGGAAGCGTGTCCTCCTCTCCAGCATGCTGGCAACCTGGAGCCAGGAAGCGTTGCGGGCATCAAATCGGAAAACCTAGGATGACAGCAGGTGGGTGGTGGTCAGCAGAGGGCAGGTGGCTGGCTTGCACATTGTGTGGCTTTAAGAACTCATAAACATTTTCTCAGGGCTGAGGCAGGTTTTCTGTTCAGACTTGAACAGGCCCAACTTCCAGTACCAGCCAGCTGACATGGCAGCACCTCCCCAGTGGAGCTGAAGGCTCAGTTGAGACCTTTTAGGGGGGCTGGGAATAGGTTGGGCTCTCAACTCACAGCAAGCAGAAGGTGGAACACACTGGCTTAGTGAAAAACCTCTGTTTCAAACACCAGGTAGCATGTGTCAATTGGAAACTGTGTCAGTGATGTAAGCAAGCATGTTTTGCATCTTTGCTACTGTTTGAGTGTGTAGTGAAGACAGCAGCTGAGCTTTGCTGGCTGCTCTTGTCCAGGAGAAGGCAGGAGTGACTTCATCTTCCCTCATCCCTGGTGGCATCACCACAGGGTCACAGCATCTCTACTGGGCCTCCAGTCACACTGTGTTTAGCAGTAAATACCTCCCTGAGCCTGTTTTTTCAGTCCTGATTAGGCAGCCTGGGTCTCTGAGCAAGGGCAGCATCTCTAGAACCACAGGCAGCAAGCATGGGACTGGTGGTGTCAGAGCTCTGCTCCTGCAGCATCCTAGCACAGCTGCCTCACCCCCAGGGCCCTGGAGGAGAGCTGCTGTTCCCAGCTGCACCATGGAACTAAGCATAATGCTGAACTATAAGTGCATGGGTGCATGAGAAAGAAAAATATGCTGGTTTGTCTGGCATGTTCACTGAAACCATCTAGGAAATCACAAAATCCTGCACAAGGCTTTTTACTCTCCAGGCAGAAGGGGAAGGTCCCAGGAGCAGATTTCCCTTTCAAGGGCAAAAACAAGGAAGGAGCAGTTCTGGAATGATGTGGCAGACTTTAACCATGGCTCCTGAGCACATATCCCATAGCAGCACCAGGAGGGCCAGAGCAGCATTCATGGGGTGGCTTGACTGGTTAACATGGACCATTTGCATAAAATTAGCTTAACACTGCCCTATAATGCAAGGTTAACCCCCTTCACATTCTGTATTTATTTCAGTCTTTTTCTGTTAATATCCACCCAAGCCACACATGTTCTGTTTGTATTAGTTGTCCCACACCTACAACAGATGTTTTATAGGACACTCAATATCCATGTTTGCCATAGCCTTGCAAAAGGCTTCACTTGTCTGCTTGATTGCCCCTGTGCATAATTTTCACACTTAATATCATCTCACTTTTCCTTGCATGCTCCATACTTCAGCTTTTTGGCTAACTGAGCGTTCCATCTGAGCTGTGGAGGTTGTGTATGGATTAGGATGTCAATTTACAGGAGGAGCAAGGTGAGAGCAGGGCAGGACCTGCTTGTTCCCAGAGAGTCTAAAAGCTGGAAAGCCTTGGAAAGCCCAAGGACTTTCCATCCTGTACAGGGCACTGAGAATATGCAAAGGTGGGAGATCTGCCATAAGCAAGAGGAATGACTTCTCCCCCTCCCTCACCCAGCCGTTTTTCTAAGGATAAATGTTTCCTGTGTCTTACCTCATTTGAAGGCTGCTTTCCTGTGGGATCAAATTTGCTCTGTCCTCCAATGACAAAAAGGAATTCATTGATGATGGCAACACAGTGGTTGTACACTGGCACACAGAGGTCCCTGACCTTGTGCCAGATGCTGCAAGTCTGGTCTGCAGCCCACATCTCTCTGCACACACTGTTGTTGGCTGTTCTGCCACCAGCCACAAGCAGTACAATGGACCCGGAGCGGGTGCTCGTGCTCCAACTCTGCAGGATGGGCTGAGCATATAGCTGGGAGTGATAACTTAGGGCTTCCTGCAGGTACCTGTGGCAGTCTGAATCCAGCCTCATAAGAGGCACTTTCTGGACGTATCTCTGCAGATCCCATAGAGGAATGAGAGGGAATCTTACGCACCTTAAAATATCTGCTGCATCTTTCAGCCGTGCGTGGTCATGCTGCAGCCAGCACACTGCTGCTTGGAACAGCTCCAGCTCGCTGCATCCTGCCATGTCAGTCCTGCCCAAAATTTCACAAAGGGTTCCTCGGTCCAGGTCTTTCAAGCACTGAGGATCAGCCAGTATCTGTTTGTAATGCTGCCCTATGTAGCACATGGCTTTCTGTCTCAACTCTGCTGGGCCAAGTTTTTTAGCAATATTAAGAACATCCATGCAGTTCTCAGAGTTCAAGCAATCCTCCAGAAAATGAAAGCACAGCTTGATCACCTCACGAACTAGGAGGGTTTCTGCATCTTTGAAGGTCTCCTCAATATTCTGTAATGAGAGGTCTAGTTTGTTGAAGTAAATGAAGTTGAGGACATTCCTCAGCCTGGTAGCACTGATGGCTTTCAGCTGGACGTTGCCATCTGGGTTCCCTGCTTTTGTCAAGTTTCCAACAAACAGGATCTTGCAGTAGTTACTTGCTGATGCTAAAATGATCTTGTGGGCTGGAAAGCAAACCCCTTCTGCCTCCAGTGTCACGTCGCACAGTGCTCTCTGTGAGTGGAGGCTGCCAAGCCCTTCCAGGAGTTTGGCCAAGTAGGTGTCGGACACGAGCCGTGCCGCACCAGTTGGCGAGCTGAGCAGCATTGCACCCCAGGACTGCCACACACTCACTGCAGCTCCTGGGCAGCTTGCTGCAGCTGTTTCATGCTTGGAGGAGGCTGAGGCCATGCTGCAGAGCTGTCCCAGGGCCATGGAAAGCCACCTCCATGGCAGCCCCTCCCCTGCCCGTTGCAGCCCCTGGTGCTGTGAGCCTTGTGCAGCTGCTGGAGACCCGTTGGTAAGTGCTGGTGATTGCACAAAGCCCACAGTGCTTGTGGGGTTTGTCTGGGGGCTGGGACACAGTCACTGGCATAGCCACATTTTCCTCCTCCTTGCTATCTGATAACTGCCAATCTGCATTAAAAAAAAGCTCATTCCACTGAGCTGCCCAGTCAGGGTTTCATTCATCTGGGCAAGCCTGCACATGCTGTCTGCCCCTTCTTGAACAACAGTCAAAATCCTGTTTGTGCCCTGCCACCCTTGGCCTTCTAGCTAAACTTGATGCATTCAGACAACAGCTACTTTCAGGGAGGGGATGGGAGAGTCTCAGCAGTTGTGTCCCAGTCAGTTTGAAGCATCCAGCTAACGTACGTCCTGTGCACAGCCTGCTCCTGTGGGCACTGGGGCTTGAAGGCTTGGGGCTCTCCCAAGGACAAACAAAGTGGTCACTTGGCTTCTGGCACAAGCAGAGACAGCAGAGAGCATCTGGGAGCCTCCTACTCCCCCTAGGTACAGCAGAACGAAAGGGTAGTGTGCAGCCAGGCTTGAGATCGCATGAAGGTCTTGGCATGGGGCAGCCCCAGCTAGGATATCTCCTCCAGAGAGAGCAGAGAGGTGCTGACAGGTTGGCCTTGGTTCCCTCTTTACAGGGGTGTTCTACAACTCCTCAGGCTCGGTACAGTGTTATGACATATACCAGCTCTACCAGTCTTGCGCTGACCCCACGGGCTGTGGCATCGGCTCAGATGCTGAGGCCTGGGACTACCAGGTAAGGTGTTGGAGACACCAGCAGGCTTCTGCTGCTGCCCTGGTTACCCCCTGCCCCATGACACCTCTTGCACCTCTCATAGGTTTGCACCGAGATCAACTTAACTTTCAACAGCAACAACATGACCGACATGTTCCCTGCAATGCCCTTCACAGCAGCCATGCGAGAGCAGTACTGCTGGAGAAGGTGGCATGTCACACCACGGCCACACTGGCTTCAGACAAACTTCTGGGGAGGAGGTGGGTTGTGCTGGCTGAGTGTCCCTTTGTATTGCCCTGTAGTTGTCTGCCGGTCTCCCTTCTGCCCAGCTGAGCACTGTGGGGTCAGGCACAACCTACTAACAAGTCCTGACAGAAAGTCACAGCCTTCTGCTGACTTGAGCCAAACAGACCTTTCTAAAAACTGCCAAAAATTTGTTTTCTCCTGTATTTTCTGTTCTTGGCCAATCTTGCTGCAATAGCCAAACACATTTGGGTAAATGGGCAGAAGGGGAGGCCTCTCAAATGTCATCTCTCTGAATTTCAGACTTGAAAAGTGCCAGCAACATCATTTTTTCAAATGGAGACTTGGACCCATGGGCTGGAGGTGGGGTAAGCATGTGTCTTTCTGCCCACCAGCCTTTGGTGGAGATCAGCCTTTCCAGGTGTCCCCCTGCCCTCCACTCCCTTTCAAACCAGCACTTAAAATTCCTCCTTAACCCATTTGAGTTTCTGCAAGCGGCTCTTTTATGCTGAACCATTCAAGAGCTTCAGGACTTTAATAACATACACATTGATTTGAGTCCATCATCCAGGACCACTGAGGCAGCAGAGGTGGCTTCATCAGTGCAGACACAGCAGGAGTCTTCTTACCCAACAGCCAGAGTCTGAAGTACAACCATCATGTTTGTGTCGAGACTTGGTCTCAGTGCTGACAATCGAGCGCTCCTTGCTCTATCCAGTCTCAGCATCTTTGGTGAGACCCAGCAGTAGCCGTGAGCAGCAACTTGGACAAGGGCGTATTTAGCTTGGGTTCAACAAAACTTCAGAGTGGTGCCAGAGCTCTAGTTTACAGATTTTTTAGTTGAACTGCAGGAGTTCCTTGTTCTAGGCTACAGGAGGAACAGGCTGCTGAGGGGGTATGTGCCCCAAAGGAGCCTGTTACTTCAAACCTGTCCTGGAAATAGGCTGCATTTTCACTTCATTTGAGACAGGTGATTGGACTCCTTAGGCCTGTCAGCCATACCAGGCATCTCTTCCTGTGCTTTTCCTCCATCTTGCCCAGCTTATCTTCCAGTTTTCAGAACTGATGTCTAGTTCTGCTGGTAGCTTGGTGAGAGCTTGTCTCTCTGCTCCTTCTCCTTCCAGATAAACAGCAGCCTCGGTCCTTCCCTAATTGCTTTGACCATTAAAGGAGGTGCTCACCACCTGGATCTCCGGTAAGTGCTGGCTGCTCCTTTGGCTTAGAAAATCCAGCTGCACTGAGGTGTGGTCTCAGCTGACAAAATCCATCTGCCCTGGGGGTGTATCTCAGCTAGCCACAGTCCAAAGAACCAGCAGACACTTTGTCGATGGAGGACCAGCCTGTTGCAGTGTAGTCATGGCAGAGCAAGCTTCTCCCCCAGTACAGGGCTCTTGCAGCCCCAGGGGAGCTGGGTTGTGAAGAGCTCGGCACTGAGCTCTCGTTCCTGACCAGAAGGTGTTACTGCACAGGGATGGGCACTATTTAATCCAGCATCTCTTGGCATTAGCCATCAACCTTCAGGCCTAGGCAGCAGGCAGTGGGGAAGCAAGGGGAAGCTTGAGGTTGTTCAGTCTGCCTCCCCACCCCCAGGGGTGTGACATCCTAACTTGTTTCCCAGGGCATAAATATGAGGCACAAAACTGCTGATCTCAGTCCTTCAGTTCCCTGGGTTGGGTTCCCTGTGCAGGAGGCAAAGAGCTGCTGCCTATGACTCGCTGACACTGCTCTGCTCTCTCTAGAGGACACAACCCAGCTGACCCCCTGTCTGTCACAGCGGCGCGCAGGCTGGAAGCGAGCATCATCCACAGCTGGGTGAAATCTGCAGGGATGGAAAGAGCACAGGAGAAGCCTTGGGGAGCTTCAGGGGGCAGAGGACTGTGAGCACACACATCCCTGCAGCTCCAGAGGGGTGCCAGGCTGCCTAAGGACAGCAGTCTGCTGAGCAGTGTAAGGAAGTATTCGTCTCCTCTGCCATGACGGTGGAAATTCACCCTTCTGAAGTGTCCCACCTACCCTTGATCAAGCACAAAAAGAAAACCCAAAGGCCAAACCACAAGGTGTGGGGCTCCTGCTCATCTGCTTGGTGTGACAGGCATTATACATGGTGAAAATAATAAAAGCTTCCCTGAAGACCCATGAATCATCGCTGTCCTGAACTGGACGGTTGCAGTAGACACCTTAAGGTTGAATCTAAATTACTTTTAGACAAAAAGTAAATTATTAATAGATTACTAGCAAAAAAAAGCAGAGGCATGGTCATTACTTACACAGACGTTACATAAAAAAATAGATTCTGTCAGCCTCATCCAGTGTTGTTGGGTTGGTTGTTGGGGATTTTTTGTTTTTAACTTCCACAAAAAATCTTCAGTTGTTGGGTTGGAGATTCACACAAGGTAGTCCTAGTGTATACTGCTGTGGCTCAAGAGCTTGTGTTAGTGACCAGTAAAGCACACTGCCACTGGAGACATCTTCAGATCTTTTGAAAATAAATTACAAATTTATTAAAGTGTGTGATATAATTTCATGGCTTGACAGTATAACCAAAGAAGATAAAAAAAGGATACTCCTCACCTTCCCATGTGGAGTAAACTCATCTTTGCATATGAACAGGTGGATTCTTACCTACTGCAATGACTGTGCACCAATAAATACTAGCATAATTGCAACAATATTAAATCCTGCTAATCAATCGGATGCTTCAGTTGATCCATTTATGACTTTATGAGCTCAGGAAGATGTCTCCCAGGTCACCAGAGGCTTGTGTTATGCAGGCAAAGCCCCAGCATTGCTCAGCACCCGTGGCACTGCTCAAACACGAGGCTTTGTGTGAAGTATTTGCACTGCTGGGTCCTCCCTGCCATCACAATACACTTGGTTCCCAGAGCTACACTGTCAGTCACTGATGTTATTTCACAATATCCAGGTGCTGACACAAGGGTTTTTGGCATGCAACCCACTTACCTCTTCACTGTTCTTAAGCACAAAATGGCAAAGCTTCTGCTCCTCCCACACCTCCTCTGCTGAGGAGTGCAGGAAGAGGAGGAACAGATCTGTCCACTTACCAGATCTTTCAGATATGTACAAATGAAGGGCAACATATGGAAGACCTGATCGAACTCCAGCCCACGAAGAATGTTTTAAGACTCTTAGAGGAACTACATCCTCAATAAAACCTGTATCTTTTCCATTTGTGCCAATTAAAACCTCTGCAAAGAGCTGTCAACCTCCCTTTTGCTCATCCTGGAGTCAGGCTTCAGGTTGGCAGCTGAAACTATGACTTAGACACACTGCCATGTTCAGCCTTATGCCATGATCTGGTGGTCACCTGCCATGCTCACAGACACCCCTAATATCTCTGAATTTAATTGGCTGTACCCAGCAATTACTCAGGACTAGCACATGAAAAAAAGCAGAGTGGGATGTGTCTGCGGAGAGGATTCCATGTTGCCTGGATTACCTTTCTAATAGCACCTGTAGGTCTCAGCAGGCAGGCACACAATTACACCAACCTAGCAGCCACATTCAGTACAAGTCCTTTGGAAAGTGATCTGCAAGTTACCACCCCTGGCCAGTGTCTGGGTTTGTGTCTTTGAGTGAACAGAGGCCCAGGTGTCTTTTGATGTTCCAGAAGGGTAAGAGTTCTTTAATCCTGCTATGCAAATCCTGCAAATGAACTATACTGATCTGTTACTTTCCTCTTGCAGACTGTACCTGCCCCTAAGGAACCCACATAGTGTGAGGGGCACAAATGGTTTGATTGATACGGAAGAATGAGCTGAAGGATTTCAGATGCTATGGCAAAGGGATAAACATGATATACATGGACTTGCACACAGATGATAGATAAAGCAGAGCTAAAAATAATTACAAAAACAGGCCTGAGAAACTCTGCCAGAAGCCCGAAGCCAGTGCCACAGATGTCCATAATACCTGGAAGCCTTGGGCAAGGAAGGATGAGATGGAAAGCCTCAGAGTGTGGTGCTCTCCAAGGTGAAGAGACAAGCCCAACAGCAGCAGTCACAGTTCATTGCAGGGATGCTGCTGGTGCCTGAACTTCAGGGACACAAAAGGAAACCAGAGCAAGCAGTGAGTGAGCCACAGTACCATTCACAGGCACCATCCACATGCAGAGCCCCTGTGCTGGTCTAAGGCCTGTACCAGGGGGGCTTGAGAAAAGCTGTATTTACTCCATCATCACATACTGGCACAAGGAATATGACCAAGATGGGGACATTGCACAGAACAGTAAGTGTTTATTTGGTCACATGCCTTTAAGTCAGAGCTTGGAAACTGACCATGCAAATCTGTGGCTTTCTGGGCAAGCTCAAGGCATGCTTTTCTGAACTAGTGGTTGGGCTTCAGTGGAAGCTGAGGCCTCCAGACTGACAATTCTAGCAATACTTCAGAGACACCAAAACGCAAGTGGTTCTTCCCAAATCAAGTCAGAAAATTCTTAATGCTTCTGCTGAAGCAACTGGATTCTGAGCAGTGTGTCACTGATGTGTCACTTTTACTGGTCTTGTTAAGTACACTGAGTGTGGCACTAGAAATCAGGAGCTGAATTGCCTGGAGGCTTATTTGTAGATTTTGTAGATATTGTACACAGCTGAAGGAGACAAGGGCTGAAACAATGCACAAAATTATGTCAACGTGTTAAGTTGCAATAGCCTGTTCTGTCTGCATCCCTCATCACTGCAATGTCCTAGTACAGAAGAGGAAACAAAGTGGGCTCTTTGCCTAGTATTTCAGGGAGCAAATACAGCTGTAACCGAGCTTGGCACATCGTGGTTAAAACCTCGTTACCATGGACCTTGCAAAACTGCCAGTTTCTGAGACCTGTCCTGGGACTCCAGGTCACAAAAGGCCAGAGATCAGGTGCTAACTGTGGCCCTATCCCTCTACTGGATTTTCTTTGAGGGAACAGGGAACAGGTTTGTATTTTTTTCTGAGCTTTGGCTCAGCCCAGTGTGAGACTTTCAAGTCCTCCAGCTGTGTAGCACCTCCTGGCTGTGCCCATGCCTGTTTGTGGCCCTCAGTGAAAGCATCAGTGGAGAGTATAGCTGGGTGGGACTGGGCTTCTATTGTTTTATTTTAATTAGGCAAGGCACTCAAGTTCTTGGAGCGAAACCAAGGCCTGTCTTTGTGCAAAAGGCCAGAATCACCATCTGAAGAAATGGCCTTTCCACAACATTCCACATCAGCAGCACACCAGCATGCTGCACCACCACCCACTGGGATCACGGAGCCTGCAGTTAAGGCTTTGGTTCAAAGAATCAAAGAGCACTGGAAAGAAAACTTCAAAGATGTGCAAAGCTTCTGTTGTGCTGGGGGACGAGCATGGAGTGGAGCAGAGATGGGCCATAAAGCTCCAAAACCTCAAAGAATCTGACACAACATACTGTCTTACAGAAGTAAAAATAAATAAGCAAGTAAAGTGACATTTGCAAAGGAACAGGAAGAAGCAAATAAGCTCCTATTAGCTTATTTAGGCTTGTGCCATTTCACATGTTATTTGGGAGTCTGAAACAAATATTTGTTCTCAAAGGTAGAGAGAGCTGAACAATCTTGAACTCAGACTTAAAGGAAGGGGACAGTAAAGCCCCAGTTTGCAGAGATTCAGTTTCCCAGGAAGAATTAGGTAGAAATCAGTTGGACCAAAGGACTCAGCTAAAATACAAGAAATGTTTATCAGAATGTGACAAGTTATTCTTCTCTCCTTCCTTTAACTCATTATGAAATAGATAATTACTCTCAAGCGAATCATAAGACAAAAAAATTATAACCCAAACTCCCACAATCCCATTGGTAGATTCGAAGATATTAAGACTTCTAAGTCTTCAACAACAGAAGATTTTTGGTGGAAATTCATATGCATTCCACTTTCTAAGAAATCTCTTTGTTTCCTCAGTAGGGCTGCCATGTAGATGAAATGACAAACTCTGGAAGTTTTAGCAAAGTCATAATTAAGGGCTCAATATGAGCTTCAATCAAAGGCACATGGCCAAGCAACACAAGTCAACAGTGCCTGGGTTGTCTCACTGAATTAATCTTTTTTTTTTTTACTCTCCAGTTTTGAGCCTTCAGCTTTTAGCCAAAGCTCAGCTCCTCATTAACACTAAACCAGCTCCACAAACAAAAACACAGAAGGTGTTTCCTCTCACATTTCAACAGCATTTTCCTTCTTCACTGTTCTGTTAAAGAAAACAAAAGTCTTGGGAGCAAACCAGTTGTGCAGACAAAGGCTGCAGCTACTGGATTCCACTGCACACAAGTGAGTAACATATTTCCAGGGTTACTGGTGGCATGTGAACTGGAGGAACATTAACATTCTGCACAAACTTGTCTTGTCTTGCAAATCCCAGGGCCCCTATGATGACAGAAAAGGTGCATTTCAAACATCTGTAAAATTTCTCCATTTCCATAAGCCATCATTAGTACATGGAATGATAAATATTCTTCAAAATACTTCAATAGTGGTCCCAAGGGTAACTTCTGACTCCAGCAAAGATAATTGATCAGCATAAAACATAGGAAGATGCATCTTACTTTACAAATCAAAGTTTACACATAGTTAAAATACACATACCTCCCTCAGCCACTTGAAAATTAACCATAACAGTCAGATTTAATTGGTTCCATTTAGCAGCCCCAGATTTAGAGGGGACTGTACCTCAACCAGCATTACCACACACCTACATTCCTGCCACTCCCATTAATGTCACGGAAAGGACATCTTGGTGAGAACAGCCTCTAAGAAACATGGACAAGTACACTCCTGAGACCTCATCTGTGGATACAGGAGGGTCTGAGTAGCTACAAAATCAAAAGGAAAAGCACTATAGAGAGCTAATTTCCCAATCAATGGCTTAAAATCTATTTGCACATATAAAAATGAAAGATCCCAGGGCTCCCATAAGATTCTTGAAAAAAAACTAGGTCTGCTTTGTCTTCAAGCAACTGAACAGATTTCACTAATTCTATTTGGGCCAGGAATTGTAATACATTTAGACTGTCTGCTTTTAAGACTACTAATGAAAATACTTCTACCCAAAGTACTCCTAAGGAAATAGAAAACGCAACTGCAAATTTCTCCAGTTAAAAAAAAATAAAATACTGCTGTACAGCTGTAAGCTTGTTTTGAGCCAACAAACACGTTAATTTCTGGACAGGAAGGGATGGAAGGACCCAACTTAGAATGGTACCTAATGTGCTCACAAGCTTTCCCAGTGCCCAGCCTCAGAAAGCAGCTTTCAGTCAGAATACCTGAGTCTAACTGATGCAAAT